TCTGCATCGTCGTTGTTGTAATTAGTATCGCGTACATCTTCTGCATCGTCGTTGTTGTAATTAGTATCGCGTACATCTTCTGCATCGTCGTTGTTGTAATTAGTATCGCGTACATCCTCTGCGTCGTTGTTATAATTAGTATCGCGTACATCTTCTGCATCGTCGTTATTGTAATTCGTATCACGTACATCTTCCGCATCGTCGTTGATGTCAACAAGATCGCGTATTTCTTCTGCATCGTCGTCGTTGTAATAATTAGCACCACGATCTTCTACGCCGTCGTCGTTGTAATAATTAGCACCACGATCTTCTACGCCGTCGTCGTGATTAGGATTTTTATCGCCATCCTCATTCTCCTCGTAAACTAACTTTTTAGGCACGTTCTCGTTATCGTGTTTGGCAGCCACTGGTCTCAAATTCGTCAAATGCTGAGACGGAAAAGCAGCCTTGTCCATTGATAACTTGTCATATTTTCCACCCACGCCGTATCTATCGTTTAGCTTAAATAATAAATTGACGGAATTAACCTCGCCAACAGTAACAACTGTTGAAAAACGCCATGCATCCACAAATCCATCATCAAAAGTCTCCTCAGGATGATTCATCATGTTCCAAGAAACCTCGTCGTCTGGACGCAAGCTCAACAACTCACGTCCAGTCCCAGTCGGCAGATGCTGACATCCCTCAAATTTGGGCACGTGTTCTGTCAGACATCTGCTCATTGCTTTCTCCTCAGACACTGAGCCTTCCTCTTCAAGACAAAATGGAAGATGAGCACCCGCAATGGCAAGAAGGCCTTTACTGAAGATGTATCCAGATGCGGTTGAACAGAATTTTATATCTGATAGAGGGTCCAGCTGAGGATTACCTATTAGTCGAGGATGAGTAGGAGATTTTAAAGAGTTCAAGTGGTCAAGAAGGCGGGGTAGACGAACAAAGGTTCGATCGGTCACTTTTAAAAAGTAATTGTAATGATCCAGATGATAAGAATACAGGAAATGGAGAGCCTAACGAATTAAAGATAAAAAATCATTAATTTCGTGAAAATCATTAGCGCTTATAGCCATCACACTAAATTAATCCTGACACTTGACGCTCGCTACCATCGATACGTCAGACATACCTTGGTAACTGTTTTAAACTTGTTCTGCTCGTCGCTCAGTATTTTGGGCTCTTTAAAAACCATAGTTTCTTTTAGCAACTCGGCCATCATCTGCTTCAAATCTTCCTTTTCTGTCACTTTTCTCTCGTTTTTCACGTCCTTGTCCTCCTTTCCATCTTTATCCTTTTCCCTTTGCCTATCTTTATCCTTTTTCTCGCTCTCTTCGAATCCGGGTATGTTGGGCCATCCAAATCTATGTAGAGTGTCTTCCGATGTCGCAAACCAGAGATCAACACTGAGCGACTTGTTAGACCTAGCAACTTTGCCCCATGTATCGACTATTGCCCGACAATAAGTACTGAGCGAAGTATTTGTTGTGGGTACTATTAAAACAGCTAATTGTTTGGGATAGTTGTCGGTGAATGTGGAGAACAGTGGTGGTGGGCGGGGTTTCTGTGGTTGTTGAGGGGAGGAATGGCTGTTGACGGGAGAAAATGGGAATTAGTCGAGGAAATGGATCTAGTTGACTATGGCAAGAGCATGTCTGATAGAAAGCTTGGTAAAAAGATTACCCTGTCATGGCTGGTGTTTCTTCGAAAGGATCGGGTGGTTTTGTCAATCTTATCCTTGCAGTTACTAGTATTATCATGGTAACGACAAAGAGAACATAACCCCATTTTTTCCGAATTAACTGCAAGACAGATCCAGCCGACCTCCGCTGAAATACTAAATCATTATTTAGATAGCCGTAGTAGTAACCGGGGCGAAGTGCATGAGTGGGTTTGCGGAATGACGGCAGTTTGCTTGATCTGCCTTCCATCTCTAACCGAGGGTTGTTGTTGTAATGAGTATAGAAGGGGGGACTTGTAAAGAGCTAATAAAGTGATACTAACTAATTAAGGGATTGATATTAGAGATGTTTTGAGTGCAAGTAATGGTTATGCACAATTACAACTCGTTGGTCATTTCTCTGAAGCTTTTAAACGGGCATTTATTTTTCGGGTTTTCAGGTTCCCAACTAGAGTAACAAGTTAATTACCGTGTAACTATTACAATGTTACACCATAATTGTAAATGCTTCGCGCGTTCCCAGTGAAAGTGATTTTCAGGTGGGTGGAAAAAGTTTTGGGCTAAAAATCATGACTCCGCCCGCCTATTGGACGATACTGACATATACTTACCAAAAATCGGCATACATTTATAGCAACAACGTACTATAATGCTTACAAATTACATGAGAAAACGTCATTAGTTTACATTCCCAAAAATAACCTTCGAGGCCTTTTACTTAAAACCATCAGGTCCCAAACTCCTCCCCCAGAAAATTCAACGATGGCTCTCTCACTCTCTACAGCTGTACGCCTATCTTTTCTCTTGATTCTTGCATGCACATCCCAATACGCATACGCCGTTGATTACTACGCAACCGGAGCGCTTGTGTGCCCAGAATCAAGTCCCTGTACTGGACAAAGTGTGGGCAATATCATCAATCAAGGGAATGATGGTAAAGGGAGCCCTAGACCAACTATTACTTCCGGTTTAACACTGCATTGTAGCACGAGTAACTTGCCTACCCCAACGACAATTTCTAAAGATGCCAACGGAAACATTATCGGACAAGTAATCAACAGTGGGAAAACTTATTACAACTGTAACTGGACCACCGGATCAAATGACATGAATCCTACTGTAACAACGCAGGATGGAAAAGGATCAAACTCGGCGGCTGAAAATGCGGCAGGCTCTTGGAAATCGAGAATTATGATCGTGGGAGTAATTGTAGGAATTTGGATGGCATTGATGTAAATAAAGGAATGGGGAGAGAGTGGAGGCGGATTTTTGTGGTATTGCGACATAAGATCGCGTCGTAAAAATGCAGTCAAAAAAATATATAATTTTTTTTACAATGTTTTGGTATTTTTTATCCAACATGAACAATTTAGCAAAGCAAGTTGTATGTGAAATAAAGATATTCTATAATTCAGTGATCCCAAGTTTAAATACATGCATCATCTATTTCATGACTAGTAAATCTCTATCGTCATAAAAAAGACGATAATAATAAGCAAAAGAATAACAGTTTAGGCCTGCTTCTTATCTGAATCCGGTATCCATTCCTCGGGTCGAAAGTCATCACTGGGGATAGGTTTCTTTGACAACTTTTCAGCTAACGATTCTTGTCTTGCAACTTCTTTTCCATCTCGACTCTTGTCCACTTGTCGCTCTTCTGCATTTTCTAACCTTTTCCTTTTCTCGTCGGCGTACTGACTTTCCAATAATTTGACCTTTTCTTTCATGACGCGCTTTCTCCTTTCATCCTCTTCCAACTCTTGTAGCGTGGGCGGGTCGAACCTGGTATGTTTCAACCAGCTCTGCCATTGCACAGGCAAGTCATGTTCGCGATACTCTGCAACGGGTATTGGACGGTTTAAATCAACTGTACGTCTCGTTCGATCATGAAAACGGGTGAGGGATTCGTAATAGGTGTTGCCAGAAAGATCAGAGCCAACATAGACGCGTGTGCGCCATGGTAACCGGAGAGAACGCCAGAAAAACGTGAGGCGGGCAGGCATTTCGGAGAGGGAAAGAGTGCGAGATTTAATAGAGTAGGAATTGAATTGACGTTAGATGTATTAAAAGAGAGAAAGAAGAGAAGAGGTCGAAAATTGGTTCGTCGCCAAGAAGCTGTACTTCTGACAATGGGGACGTAAAAAATTTAAAACCGTGAAAAATCTACAGTAGCACAAAAATGATGTAATTCTTAAAAGTTGTCCTGATATGCTCGATTCTCACATCTTTTTAACAGCGGGCGATAACGAAAAACCAAAACAATGACGACATTTCGAATAGCTGGAATATGTGGCTCACTTCGAAAAGCTAGCGTTAACAAAAAGCTTCTTTTGCGAGCCCAGCAGTTATGTGCCGAACGTATTCCAAGTGCTGTGATAGAAATTGTCGATTGGAGCGACATTCCAGTGTATAATTGGGTGGGTTGTGTGCGTTTCCATGTCCGAGTGACGATGTCAGGCAGTTGATTGAATATTTTGGAGAATTAGGATCTAGAAGAGAACCCTCCAGAATCCGTGATACGGTTTAAGAACGACATTGCAGACAGAGATGCTATGTTGTTTATTACACCAGGTAATTAGAACGTCTTAATACAATCAATGCGATATTATTTTGCATGTTCTCGTTTTACATCCATTGACTGCTAACTAGTTTTTATCTTTCCGTTTACGTTTTCTTATTGCTTGCAACAATTATTCCGTTGAGAATACAATTGGAGTGTTCCGTAAGTACGATTGCATGCTTAAATTGACCTCTTCGCAACCATTGATTAAACACAATGCTTTTGTTGTTATTAGTGGACCGTTGAAAAATGCTCTAGATTGGGCAAGTAGAGTCCGGCTAGGGGATCGAGGAGACGTGTTCAAGGGGAAGGCTGTTGCTGTGATGGGTGCCTCACCAGGTATATATATAATAAAGAGAGTATTGTAATTGAGAGAGGGAGAAAATAGCCACGTGATATATTGAAAACACATGGTATAAAGAACGTTGTGCAAAAGTCTATTGATTATTTCCTCGATTACTATTACCCCATCTATAGGTTCTGCGCCTGGTTCCTCTGGCAGCGGGAGAGCACAGCTAATTCTACGACAGTCGTTCGTATCTCTCAATTGCTATTGCATAAATCTGCCAACTGTCATGGTGACCGATGCATACAATGCATTCAACGAAGACGGTAGTCTAAAGAATGTTCGCCTTGAAAATAACATAGTATCAGTGTTGGAACAGTTGATAGCACTTGGGGAAAAGTCAAAGAGCTGACAACTGGCACGTTAAAGGAGTAACGGTTTTGCGAACGGCAAGTGGATGTTTTGGAAATATGAATAGTGTATCAATAAAAAGTGAGTAAACAAATCAAGTTAATTAGAACAAAAAGAGGTTAGTTTGTGGGGGGGGGAGTTGACAAAATGTTACTTTTAATACTACTCGTCGTGTGATGGTTATTATTGACTCGTGCATGGATGCCTTAAATTGTTGTTGTATGTGTCTGTGTGAATGCCACTTGACTCGGTTGCAGGGATGTTTCTTCGTCTCGTGCTATCGCTACTCTCCGCTGTTAAAATCTAAGCTTAAATCTCGATGACCCCAACTCAATAAAAACGTGTTTGGAGTGCTGCCTATCTGCTGATGCTGCTGTGATGCTATCTCTGCTGCCTGCTATCTGATGAATTCAATACCTGATACATTTCCGGAATTTATTGTCCATAATAATAATAATAAAGTTACACCGTGTGCCCCCAATCAATATAATAAATTATTATACTATTACTATTACTATTACCATTACTAAACCCCCCGTCTTGCTGCGTGCGGGTGGAATGCGCCGAGAGTACCTTGTTTGGATGGATTGTGTCACTGGATTATGTAAGAGGAATAGTGATCAATTAACGTTTTCTTTTGGGTCGATCAGATGATGGGATGGCAAGAGCGATTGTCGGGCTAAAGGGGAGGGGAAGAACCTGAAAGAGCATGAGGGGGAACAGGCATACCGCAAGTCAAAACGCAAAAGTAAGGAATTGGCACAGCATATTTTTATTTTCATTGTAGTTTAATTTGCTACGGGTCAGCCGGGGACAATAATCTATATTCGTAATAATATTGTTTGTTTCAACCCCGCCATTATTATCGCAGAACGATGTTCGTCTGTGTCATACGTTGGCGCTGATTATTTCCATATTTCATCTATTGTGCATTGGGGGTGATTTGTATTGGATAGCTCTTTATGATGACATCTGGTGCGCTTTCCGTATTCGGCCTCCAATTGGTGATTATGCTTGTATCAGCTTGTGTCTATAATATAGTCGTGTCTTGACCACCGTCCCATCAATCAATACATCGTACTCGTACCAATACGGGTGGGATGGGCAACAAGTATTGATGTAATAACTAATATGTGAATAATAAATTGAATATTTAATATTAACGCCACAAAAGTCCAGGGGTCGTGGCACAACACAATCTTAGTGTAACGAAAAATTTATCTATAAAAAGAAAATGTTTTCTTAAAATAAACTTGAAATTAAGATTTATTAAAAATTTTTTCACACATCGAGTTTCAATTGATCCACCAGGACTAAATGGGAGATTGAGGGCGCGGTCTTTTGACATAAACTGCAACAGACATGATGCTTGTGATTTTAACACAATTTTTTGAATCAATCCCATTTAAAGTTGGTACGATAATATTTCAAGGTCAATGCCTTGTAAAACGCCAAATCTAAACCAAGTTTTTTTTTTTTTTTGGTCTACGAGTTTAATCAACATTGTCATGTGTCTTGGCTTTATCTTTGATTGATATATAACCAATGATAAAAGTATTCATTGCACCACGAACGTAAAAGATAACAAGAGTTGTTTTGGTCGCTGGCTCTTATTTACACAGTAATGCAAATTGTCATTGAATAATACTATCGTCAAATCTATCTTTGCACTGCACTGCACTGCACAATGTTTGATCTGTTAATTAAAAGTGAGGCGTCTACCGGACGTACAAGTCAAAAAAGTTACTACTTGTTACTCGAATTTGTCAGCCAGAAATGTAGTGCGCTTTAACACCAGAGTAGCTTTTACAATCAGACGGCAACGGGTACCTCTTTATTGAGAAAGATCGAGCGTGTGTTTAAATAACTAGAGTTTTGTGCAACTGTTAGTCATGATGTAACGTTATTGAATGCTGATCAGCATCCTATTAATGTTGTGTTAACTACCGGTTTACTTTGACTATATTAGCACGTTTTGACGATATTGCAATTATGTGGCGTTTACCCCTGCAAGTAAGGTGGCGTTATATCCACTTTGTCACATTACCGTTGTGGTAATGCTCCACATGCCATCCATCGCACATCGCGCGAACAGATTTACAGCGACATCCACGGGATGGATAACAATCACCGTGTATCACCGTGTAACAACGGCAAATGAAACTTGTACAATCTCAGCTATAGCACTAATAAATTCCACCACTGTATTTCCCACAAATAATATTCATCTTTCTTTATTTAGATATCTGTAACGCAGACTAATACTAAATGTTCAATCCTGTATCCCACATTATCACTTGATAATGATGAGCAAAGATTAACGCAGTTTGGGTAGGCGTACAATTGTGACACCTTGGACGCAACAGCTCATTCTGCATGCGGATACTTTACAATTGAACTTGGAGAAAAAAAAGTGTGTTTAGATGGGCATATGATACCTGCTCTTTGTAAGACAATATCAGAAGGAGTTGTTATTAAAACAAATATGACAAATGGAGGATAGTCGGGTTTGGGAAGTAAAATCGTATATGAAGTACATAGTTCGAAGCAGACACAATATCGAATAGAATCCTGATTATTGGTTCGAGATAATGAGAGTTCCCACCTGTGAACGGAGATGAAGGCAAAAATGTCCGTTTTTTGCCAATCCAAAAGAGTATTTAATATAGATAGACTATGGAAGCATAGCAAGCAATAATGCAACGGAATTATATTATGCAAATACTGTTATCTTTGTGACTATCGCCGTCACACTTCCTAAAATGACGGCTATGTGGTTAAAGTTTATTACTAAAGGGTAACAAGTGGGTGCTACTTACTATTACAGAATCGATAAGTACTATTATCAGAAGAGTTTGTTATGTTGGCTGTTATTTATTGGATTACTCATCCTTACACACCTTACACAACACACATGCTCTATGAGACAGACAGACAAGCCACAACGCAGGATAAAAATAGCAGCATTCTCAAACAAAAAAAATGGTCGGGGGGCGGAGAGTGAATAGGGGAGAGGAAACGCCATGGAGAATAACAATTGGGTGGTGCATTAGGGGACACTGGGAAGGATAGCCATTTTTTATATTAGAACATTATATTATGTGTAACAACAAAGAAATTTATAAGCGGAGTTTGAGGATTGATATTAAAGTAATATGTTTGTACGTGGTCATGTGCTGTCTATGTGTATAAGTAATAAGTAAGTAAGCAAGCAAGAAAGTAATAAGTAAGTAATAAGTAAGTAATAAGTAAGTAATAAGTAAGTAATAAGTAAGTAATAGTAAGTAATAAGTGCAAGTAATAAGCAAGTAATAAGCAAGCAAGTAATAAGCAAGTAAGCAATAAGCAAGTAAGCAAGTAAGTAATAAGTAAGTAAGTAGTAAGTAAGTAATAAGTGTAAGTAAGTAATAAGTAAGCAGTAAGTAAGTAATAAGTAAGTAATAAGTGAGTAAACCCACAACTCATTTAAACCCACAACTCATTTAAACCCACAACTCATTGACCAACCCACCACATATAAACACAACACAACACAACACAACCAACACATAAAGCCAACCCATATGATATTGTTGTTATTCTTATTCTTATTGTTATTCTGTATTTCTATATCGATATATCGATATGGCTATCAAACCCATTGTGTTATTCACATTGGCACTACCAATTATGAAAATACATGTCATACGCCCCCCATTGTATATTGTGATTCCTTTCCGCCTGTTTTGTCTTTGGTCCGCGCGATAACTTTCTTGTTGATGACGCACAACCACAGCATATACCCATACATGTGGGAGTAACTTGAACATGGTGACAAATAGTGAGACAGCAGTTCAGAACATACGCAGTACATGTGGAGCATAGCTGGTATATCGGGCGTATAAGGCGTATCATGTAGGGTAGGAACTTGCCATTCCTACGTTAAACAAGCCATTCAATCCTTCAAGATGCAGATAATGCATTACACATGCAAATTTAGAAGTTGTATACATTATCTGTACAAACTCTCGCTGCAATCGTCATCCAGGGGAAGATTTCGACGATCAACTGCAGTGGCGTTGTGGTGACGTGATGACGTGGTGACGCTGTGGGTCGGTGGGAAGGGAAACGGGGGGGTGGACGATAGGTTCGTGGTGTGTTTTATGTGATGGTTCCTATCTGGGATTAAAATAATCACCAAAGAACAATTTGGTGGAACATCGATTGATAATGTTCTGATATAGGCAAGTGTATTACGCTCAATTGTAGGTAAATAAGGATTAATGTAAGAGAGATGTCAGTAAGTGAAGGCTGGATAAATAAGAATAGAATAGAATAGAATACCAATGTAGCAAATGTAGCGGAGAACATTGTGACGATGTAAAACCTTTTTTATTTATACTCGGTTCCGAATAAGTTTACGGCACAACTAATACTGCAATAAACTTGTATAATTTTTTAGGGTTTGATAATCGAATGCGGAATCTATTATCTAAAAGTTATTTATTTATACAAGCATTGTCAATTATTTGAACTTGTCCGTATAAATAAAATTTTTTTTTATGTTATTGCATTCATTTTTCATTTACTAATCCAGAGTCATATCCGAGTCGTCCCCGAGCCATAAGAAATGTCATGTTGTGTAAACGCAAAGGCAAAACTCATGCATCTGTGTTGGGTATTTATATTGTGGCATCATTCTATACCAAAACTAGTTAGTCTCCCATGACGTAAAAGATTTCGTTGTGTTCGCTTTGATCAAGCCCATTTTTACAATCAAATTTCTCTACCCCCCAACTTTCTCTTCTGCCACACTTGCTCCTTTCAGAAGGAAAACAAACCCATTTGTTCCAACGATCACATCCATATAAAAGCTTACTCTGCGGTCAACGTAAGTTCTATTTTTTTGTCTTTACTTCCTTTTTCTCCTCACACGCTTTGACAACTTGTTATTCAAAGCACATCTCTTTTCCGCTTTTTCTTCTTCCACACAAACTTGGCTAAACCTTTTCGTCCTCTTTGCTACTCCTACTCTTTTTGGCTCATTCCTCTTGTACAAACAAGTAGACAATAAACTCTTATTTATAATACAGTCTACTCATCTTAATCCAGGACTGCCATCGCTCTTGTCCACACAACCTTTCCGAGTAGTTACGTTGTGAACTTACGACGACGAAATTATTTAATAATGAGTAATATCTACAACCATAGACCTATGTTACCAGCTGGTCAAAACAGCAGTAGCAATACTAGTCGCTTTGCTGAAATGTTGGAGCAATTAAAGTCCGAGTATGACCAACTTCACCAAGAAGCCGTTGTGTATAAAATGCAAAAAGACGACCTCGAACACAAAGGTAACTATTGATGAGAAAGAGTCGAGTGTTTCTGACCTGATATAGTCTTCCGTATCAATTGAACTTGGATACGCATCCTAGTGAATGAATTTGGAAGGTCGTCAACAAATGGATATTTGTCACGTGTTGTATATTTTGAACTAAAACATCAAAAAGAAAAAGGGTGAATGAATGAGGAGAGAAACTAGATAACATGTCAGCGAAACTAATTGCAGCAAGTTAGCCCAGAAAAAAAAATTTTTTAGAAAAAAAAAATTAGAGCAAGAGATTGGGATAGCGAAAAAAAAAAAAGTGTGTCAAGACTTTGATGTGTTTGCACAACGTTTACATCGATACATCGATTTCAGAGCAAGCCAGACAGACGAAATATAGTATAAAGACTGCTGGACTCGACGAGATTGTCATCGAGTTTTTAAATCCAAACCGTTATTTGGGACAATGTGTCATTGATTAGAAAACAACAGTTCAAAGATACTATGATGCGTGTCACCGGGAGACAAATTATCGCGACTTGTTAAAGCTGCACTCTTTTTGAATGTTTATTCACTTATTTATCAATAACGCTTATTACAGTCCAACAACAAACCGAAGAAGTCAATCTCATTCGACAAGGTTTATACGATTTACAAGCAAATCAAGCAAAGATAAAACAACAGTAAGTGGTCAACAGTGTTTGGATCAACATTCTTCTCGCCATGATCCTGACCTACTTTGCGTCATAGGTACGAGCAAGACATCATGCGTCTCCAACGTGAGCTAGAGCAACAACGCCTGCATGCACATTCCTCGGGTCACCCTCAACCATCCTCTCATCCGCCACCGGTCCCACCTCCAACAATCGGGCAAAGTGGTTCTACCCTTTTCAATGGCATCATGAACGGTAGTGGTCCTGGATTAGTTGCGCCGGCACAAATGTCGCTCGACCCTTCACAACAACAACCAGGCCAGCCTGGTCATGGATATCATGGCCCCCCTCAGAACGTCCCTCCAGCTGGAAGTAGTTCTGCCCCCAGTCCATATATGAATGGAAGTGGTGGACCCCCTGGACAGCTTCAACAACAAAGTCAACATTCTACAAAACGACCCCGGATGGAAGACATGCCTCCCGGTACGCCTCAAGTTGGTATGCCTCTCGGACAGCCTCCCTCTCAAATGTATTCAAACAATGGCCTACCGCCCAATCAATTATCTCAGACTAATCAATCTATGGGGGGACAGCCAGGTGGATACATGTCCGCAGTTAACCAAAATCCGAAGCCGGGAAGTAAAATGCCTAAAGTATGGATGTGGAAGATCTTGGAGAAAATATAGATTATCTTCATTGAAGAGGGGTATTGCGAACAAACGAATTTTAACACAATATTTATTCCGTTCCTAACTAATCTCTGTCTCTCTTTATTTTCTTGTTTCACGTTCAAAATTTTGTTTCCTGGCGCGCGCGCGTATATATTACAAAACCAACAGGTTACTCCAACTCTTGGTCCCGACGCATCTTCATCAGTAATGCCTCCGAATGGTGCTCCTGGTTCTGTTCAACAACCAAAACGTCCCAAACCCAATGTGACTGCTCCTCCACCAGGGACACGCCCAGCTAGCAAACCATCAGTTACTGCTTCGTCGTCGTTTGGTGATATGGATTTGGATAATATTCCTCCTGGATTCAAAAAAGAAGGAACAGATTGGTTTGCATTGTATGTTGAGCGATTTTCATTAATGGTCAAAAAGCGAGTTTGTAGTTTTGAAGTTTCGCAGCATTCTGAAGGCGGGCGATGCTTCATCTGCTGGCGGCATTGCCCCGTGCTTATGAACCGGCCAACGTAGATGTGATCTTTATTTTTCCAAGACAATTTCAAGATACTCATTTACGTGTTTGTGTGTTCAAAGGTTCAATCCAAGAGTACCACGTGTATTGGACGTCGACTTGGTCCATACTTTGGAACATACTAGGTAAATATCAAGTCATCATTAATTAAATTCTTATAAATGCTAATTTCCATAATAATGTTGATCTTTTTGTAGTGTCGTCTGCTGCGTGAAATTTAGTGCTGATGGTCGACATCTTGCTACAGGGTGTAATCGTAGTGCACAGATTTATGATGTCACGAGCGGACACAAGATAGCGTAAGTGTGTTGAATATTGACTCTCGTCGACATTCAAGAAGTATCCGGTTGTTATGCTACTGCCAACTTTGTCTAAATTGTGAATATATTTGATCATTATAGTGAGCTTCTCGATGAATCAGTTGAAAAAAGCGGTGACTTGTACATCCGTAGCGTGTGTTTCAGTCCAGACGGCAAATTACTAGCCACTGGCGCAGAAGATAAACAAATCAGGGTTAGTGCGACTTCTAAACAAATCAAACAAGAGTTTATGTTTTCCTGTTTTAATTTGTCTCCTGCTGTGCAACAAATATTCAATTCCCGATCGACATAACCATATTTAGATTTGGGATATCAATAGTCATGCGATCAAACTTATGTTCACCGGACACGAACAAGACATATATTCATTAGACTTTTCCAGAGATGGTGAATTGATAGTGTCCGGCTCCGGCGATAAGACTGCTAGGATATGGAATATGGTTACAGGAGAAAATATTTTCAAATTGCCAGTTGAAGAGGCCAGCCAGAAGGATGCGGGAGTTACAAGTGTAGCTATCAGTCCTGACAAGCGATACGTAGCCGCTGGTTCGTTGGATAAGATTGTAAGAGTGTGGGATACACGAACAGGAACTCTATTAGAGAAACTCGAAGGGCACAAGGATAGTGTGTACTCTGTTGCATTCGCTCCTGATGGCAACACACTAGTATCTGGTAGTTTAGATAAAACTTTGAAGTTATGGGACATGACATCTCTGTCAAGGCATCAGCCGTCTGGAGCCAAGCACAACAAGATGACGTTCAGCGGACACAAGGTAAACAACGTCGATAATAATAAGAGTATGATTATGGTTTAGTTCTGGCACATTATTTTTCGCACTAACCGCCTATGGACCATTATTCCAACAGGATTTCGTGCTGTCAGTTGCAGTATCCCCGGATGCTCGTTGGATTGTGTCGGGGTCAAAAGACCGCGGAGTACAATTCTGGGATCCGAACAGTGGACAACAGCAGTTTATGTTACAGGGTCATAAAAATTCGGGTGAGTCAAATGCGTTCGAAAAACAAAGGCTCTTTGTTGTGTTGTGATGGGAATGATTGGGATTTGCATGGCTCCTTGTTCTTATCAATTTTTCCCTTCGTTTTACAGTAATCTCTGTAGCATTAAGTCCGATGGGTAATAAATATTTTGCTACTGGATCAGGTGATCTTCGAGCAAGAGTGTGGCGATATTCAGAGGACATGTAAATCAGTGAAAGAAACGCGAGAGCTATTAACATAAAATTCACTAGAGCCAAGACGGCTCTGGATTGAACTTAATTTCACTGCACACACGTAATATTATAGGAATTCCAAACGCATATAAATACATTTATTCATGTTTTACACTAGTCATAATTTTTTTTTCTTTCTTCTACTTTCCGGTGTTATTGTTTTTGCATAGTTGATTTTTGTGTTAACTTTCCCATGAAAAAAAAAGGCTTGTTTGGCTGAGGAGAGTAAAGAGATGGGTAGAAGGAAAGAGGGATTATAAAGGTGTCCCATCTCGTCCATAGCCTTATATAGTGAGATTAGTGATTCTTGTTCCATTGGGACCAAGATCTAATATATTTGATGTGATGTAATATGTATGAATAGTATCTCCTCTTCTCAAGTTTGCTCAATTTTTATCTCTTTTTCTTGTAGAAAGTTTTTGGATTCGATGTCTTCCTGTTTTTGTTTTATGCATGAGCATCCACGTTTTATTGTATAAATTGATTTTGAATGAAAAAGAAAATGGTTGAGGTCACTTGTCAAGATGGTGTTTGGCCAATTGTTATTTGAGCTATGCACACAGTCGTTTCAATGCGTACGTCCTTGATCACGTGTAATTGCCGTTGAGAATTCCCGTCGACTTCAAGTGTCACTCTTGTCGGCTTGTGCAGCACTGCCACACCCCTCGATGTGTCCGTTGACTGATATCACATGCGACCATTGTCTCCGCTCGCAGACCTCATCAGAAAGTTATATCAAATGGGTATTTCCAAAGCATCATCCCTCATGTAGTTTAATTTCGAATTCAATTTGTACATCTGCGTAACAAGTAGCAGTATTGACCAGTAAGCGCCAGGTACATCCTTGGTGTGTGTAATGATGCAGGAACTCGCATATATTAATATGCGAGCGGACATCAATGAAGTAAAAACACAATGAGTTGAACAAAGTAGTAAAGGTCTCACGTAAGGAATGCACTAATGTTATACAACGAATACTATTAATTGGAAATTTTTTTCAGACAATCACTTTCTCTAATAGCTTCCCGTGCCTGTTTCTATTTGCATTTGGAATTACAGTAAATTGCCTCCATGTCAAAAAATAAAATTTATGTGCCTGGGCGGACTCTCGTGCGATCTTCTTGAGATCCTTATTGATCATGTCCTAACACCTTGCTTTCCCTTGTACGCGTAGCAGCGTCTACTCGCAAGGTGGAGATGGTTCGTAAAAATCCATAGTTGATACACGTGAATAAAATTTTGCACGTATATATCTGGACACGCGTATTTTTTCAGCTTTTTAGAATTTTCTCGACAAGTCGGACGACGACATATTATTATGGTATGTCATTTGTATGTGTGTAATTTTCCCCAAAATAAATCTTTCGCTTTGTTTACATTTTTGCGTTGCTTGTTAACCTTTTCACAATGACTTGAGCATACTAGTCAGGCTGCCAAGCATTTCTTGAAAAATATCATCCTGAAATTATAGACTAATTTGCTAATAGTTCAGACTTTAAAATCTTATTAAATCTTTGGGCTATGTGTGAAAATGCATACCCAAAAATCTAGAACACGGGAAAACGTGAGCTGGTAAAATAATGGCATCGAATTCCCCAACAATAATGCATACTTGTTTCAAGCTTTCAAATGATTTATAACCCCTGCATACAGTCAACCCTCCCCTTCATTCAAGCATTCCCGAGGGCGTGCTTAAATGGAGTGTTAAAAGAGGAATGTCTGCATTTCCTTGTGATCAATCCTTAAAATAAAATAAAATATATATAGTAATAGTAATAGGATCGGTTATGTGTTGCGTCTAATTCGTGATTAGTTCTTGAGACTTCTTCATTTCCAATTCGGGACGGGAACTTCTTATTCATTAATTTATTATTAGTCTTTTAAAGTGAGTCTATTCCGCCACCAATAGTCTATTACTGTTATATTACTATTACAAGTGGATGAAATACAACATTTGTTATTTGTATGGTACCAAAACGCTTAACTTTACAAGATTAATTTATGGATACTATTACTATATCAAACGACTTGTTATTTCCCATCATTGCAATTATTCATCACTTAATAACTCCCAATCGTCAACGACATCATCTGAAGGAGGTAAGACAGTCCACGCCTCGCTCTTTGTCTCGTCGTTTCCACTCCTGTTGCTAGGTTCAGACATAAGAACTCTGCCACGTGCATCATCAGACGCGGTTGAATCGTGCGCCACATGTTCGCTAACAGTCATCAACACACCAAAAGGATTGATTCCAACAGGAATGGGATCAGCATCGCGAACAGTCCCCTGGGCCACTCTAGTCTCCTTTTCGCCCTCAAAGAATGCGTTACTAATCACATTATTCTTTTCTTTACTTATTACTTCGTATTTGGAATTAACCCAGCATAGTTCAACAGACTGAGCAATACCCTTTAGACCATCTTTTAGTGCATGTTTGAGTCTGGTGAGCGTTAATTCTACTTCATCCATTCCCATTGCAGTAATAGACGGTAGAATAAACGCGTCGTTTTCATTCACCCATTTAATGATGAAATTGAGTTTTCCCATAAGTGGCTCAACATGCTTCTGACATTCCTCTTTGGTGAGACCGAAAGACAATTGGGAGAGATAGAGTGCATTTACTGCCTGTTTGGGCTTGCGAACGTTAGTTGCTGTTGTTGTAGTTGCCGCTATAGATGTCGATTGGGTAGTCCGATTAGGATTCGTTGCCGCTTGTGATAATAATAGTGAAGGACTTAACAAGAAATATAGTATCAAGTTAGTATAATCAACAACAATAATTAATCATCGTAACGCGATTACTATTATATTGTTCTCTATCATAATGCTCGACTTACATCCTTGACTCGGGCTTCTTCCTTAATATTACACTTCGATATGGCTCAACATCAACACTTTCCGATGCTAGTCGATAGTGACCACACAAATCGTGTACAAACTTCCGAAATGGACCCTTCATTGTCGGAAGATTCAAGGTTTGCTTATCAGACGTGATAAATTCCCCTATCACATTCTCAATGTTTTTAACCCATGCCTTATGCTTGCTATACATATTCACCAAATTCTCTTCATACTCGATTTCGATCTTGGGGGCGTCATCACTCTCGATTTCCAATGCCTCTGCAAGTCTACGATTACGCTCAGCAAGAGCACATGCCTCATCACATTCCAAATGTCTATTCATAATCTCACCCATGTTCTCGACAGTCGCATTACATCTGATCTCCTTACTCATTCTCCCACACCGACACTCAATGACCGTCATCGTATCACAAGGGACGTCTTCAGGACATCTTGCAGGAGCATGACATTCAGCTGTACATGCATGTCCGCAAACTTTTATCTTGCCGCACTTTTGCGTGCATTTTCCGTTCAACCCATTCTCGCCACTCAAACAATTACCCGAGTGACAGGAGCGCTTACACTTATGCCCACCACATGAAATGGGAAGATCACAGATACGACCACAACTGACCGTTGTCTGGTGACAAGGGACGCTCTTTACGACCGTCTTCCCACACATACATGACTTGTTGACTAATAATGGACACGGAGGGCATGGCTGACCATCTTCGTGACAAGGATGGGTGATTTCACTATGACCACAAAGTGGAGAACGTGTACACGTATACGGACAAGAAGGTAATTTCATGCCGCATGAAATTGGAGGATATACTTTCGTTCGACCACAAGCGCATGTCAACTCATCAAACGACGCCTCTAAGCATGGAGGACAATGTCCTCGATGACAGAGTATCTGACAAGTATGATTTCCGCATTTAAGATTCTTCCCACAAATTAGAGTACATCTGTGATTCTCATCTACTTCCTCACTAGCTTGCCTATTAAACCCTTTTCTGCCAACTTTCACCTTATCGATCGAAGGACAACATCGTCTGCCGCACTCATGTCTTCCACATTCTCTCAGCCCATGACATATTCTTTCACACTCTAGTGTTTCCTTCACGCCAGAGACATTCTTACAAACAAGTTCGAATTCCATACTTCCACACCTGCACTTGACTTTTGTGATAACTTCGCAAGGCTTACAATCCCCAAAATGACAGAGATCTTGACATCGATGACCGCATGGAAGCTGTTTGTTACATGTATTGCCGCAAAGAGGGATGTCTTCTTGACAGGAGACGCGTTGTCGTTTCAAGAGAGAATGAATCGTGCATTTACCGCAAGGGCAAGTAGTCACGAGAGATGGGTCACGAGGGCAGGGTTCAACTGCAGAAATAGGATGACATTTGGATTCGCATCGATGTACGCCGCATGCGAAAAGTCTGTTTAGAAGAATTAAAGGGGTTAGTTTTAATGTCGGTCATCAAATTCGGTAGCACGTTACATTGGGCCGATAGCTGTATGCATAAATCATGTGAAATTTACCTGTCGCAGAGTTTTTCACATGCATAGTATCCAAACCATTCAGCTGAATCATCTTTACAGGCAACCGCATCACCTTGTCCACATTTAGCTTCGCGCGTAGATTTTCCACAATAACAATGTTGCATTTGAATTGTATCACAAGGCGGGCATGGACCCGCATGGCATGGTGTCTTACAAGTATGCACTGTACACTGCAGGCTAGAATCAAAGAATTAAAGGTTAATCACAAATCGTGTGTATATTGCTACCGGTTATTCGGTTAATTGGCTTTAGCTGTACATACCTCTTGCCACACGGTTCTCCACAAGAATGACCATTCGAGTGATTTGTTTCTGCACAACGAAACTGATGCCCATGTCTTCCACAATAACACAATTGCACTGGTGCCATTGCTGAACAAGGTGGACATGGTCCCGGGTGGCATTGACTATAGATATAAGTTGTTAAATTGAATTAGATATAGCCGGCGTTGTATTATAAATAGCCCGAGCAGTCTCGAACATTGTTCGTTCTATATCAGGAATATGAAGTTTGATTTCAGTTTTTATGTATACTTACAGTACACAACTATGTGGACACTCTCTAGAACGTCCACATACATTTCCACAGCTATGTGGTGTAATATATCTATTCACTTCCGGATCCTTTGACTTTCCACAAAAGCATCTGTACTCTGTTGGAATATCTGTGTTCTTATTCTGACACCCCGGGCATCTCCATGTTCGGTCAGTATTTACCGCTCCTGATGAGGATGATCCGATGTCAGCTATTGACTTCCTCGCCCATTTCTGAGCACAATGCAGGTGGAATACCGCCCAACACGTAGAGCAAAACCATGTTTTATGTGAAGGTCGGATGATTTCGCAGCAGATCATACATTCGTAAGTGGAGGTTGATAAGCCATGAGTTATGGACGATAGAACGTCAGTCGTAGATGAAACTGATGAGGCAGCATTCGGGCGGGGTGGGCGACGGGCCCGGGGTGGGCGGGGTGTACGGGGTGTACGGGGTGCACGAGGAGTAGCGTGACGATTGTTCGTGGAGGTTGAAGGTGATGAGCTAATTGTCTGTGTGGTCGTGCTTGTACTAGTTTGTTGAGGAGGGTCGCCCTGTGTATCGGAAGACGAAGCAACTCCTGACGAGTTCGTTTCTTCCGACCTGCGTTTCCACCTCTGGCCCCGCCACCCTGTCGTCCCTGATTGGCTTGCCTCAGTGAACAAAGTACGACCGCGGTCACTCTCCGAATTCCACCTCAATTGCGTCCGGCGCGGTCCTCCACCTCGTCCAGCGTTTGAAAAGCAACCTGCCATATCACTCGATCTGCCACGCCCAGAACGTTGATTATTGTCTCTAGAGTTGGTAGATGATGTTGGGTATGAAGCTAAATGCGAGTCTTGGTTTAATGGACGGTCGGTCGTGGACGTTGTTTCTGCAGGGTTTTTTATGTGCTTGGAACCTGTCTGGTGCTCTTGATTTGTATTTTTGAGGCTCGCGCTAGCTGTGTTTTCAGGATCATTCAAATTGATATTCGCGTTCCTGTCATTATTACTCTCTGAAGTGCCAGCCACTGTATTAATGCTTGGTTGTAAGTAGTTATTTGACGATCGTCCTTGTGAACTAGCCTCCGCATGTGAACGAGCATCAGGTATTATGTTCTCTCTACTACGCCAACCACGTCTTCGGCCGCCTCTTCTTATCCTACGGTTGGAGTCGTATGCGCTCCGTTGTGTACCACGCTCTTCGCTGTTTTGCAGGAAGAAACATTAGTATGTGAGTGATATTTGAGAACCGACGGAATAGTGTACATGGGTAAGCATACCTCTCAAAGTCATTATTTGCGATTCCGAGAGAACTCATATCTGCAAAAGTGTTTTCGCAAGAAACAATTGTTGTTGTGGTCTTGATCTGAACTTAAATATTATTAATATAGATTTAGTCATGCTACGCCGAGAATCCCGCAGTTTACGCCGCAGTTTACGCCGCAGTTTGTGGTACAAGAAATTTTTTAAAATAACGGTTATACACAAAAGTGTGCATATACGGCGTTTTAATGTGTAATGGGGAGATTACGACGATCGCGAGTACACAAGAGTATGTATTGAGGAGTTAACCAGGCAAATGTAATAAAGCACGGTGGTTTTACTGCTGTTAGAATACATTACTAGTACTAAGACGAGTTCTTTTTATATAGGCATAAGAGATCAATATAGAAAGTATAGAACTCGTAATTATGCTAAAGATCTCGATCAAATACATGAAGAATTGAAGAAATTAGACGAAAAAGAAGCTGTTATGAGTCAAGAATTAGATCATGACTTGCCTGGCGGAGGGCAGTTTCATTGTGTAGAATGCGCGTGAGTGTAATTTATAAGCGACATAGAAGAGAACCATAATATTATATAGCATATAGTTGAGATTGCATACGAACGGAGATGTGTACTCTTGATAACTATAGCTTTATTGATGTTTACAGTCGCCATTTTATATCTGCCGAAGCCCTGGGCGAACATAAGCGCGGGAAGAACCACAAGAAACGGTATGTAAAGGTTTATGTACAATTTGGCAGGTTAGATTATCCGTAATCCGAGTCGAGTATTCGATTCTTAAACAATATTATATATCAGTAATTGCAAATTTAACCGTATTCTGTAACTCGTAGTATTAAACTGCTCAAAGAGCAGCCTTATACTCAAGCAGAAGCGGAAGCAGCAATTGGATATACTACTGAGAATGCTCGTATAAAACTCATGGAAGACATTATGTAGTACCCTCTATCGATGGATCAGTGGTTATTCAGGAAGCCACTCAATCATCTAAATTAAAATATACGCTTTAAGCGTCAGTGACTATTTAATTTCCATGCTTCTGATGAGATTTTTCTACTGGTATCGTTCCTGAACTAATGCGTTGTCATTCTCAATTCCTGGAGGTGCTGCGGTCTAATAACAATTCCAAAATTGACAGCAGAATGATATTGTAGTAGGGCAATGTCAGTGTTGTAAAGGGTCGGTTAATGGTACGGCGGAGCGTCTAGCTAGTAAGGCTAGACGAAACGTAAGAATAGATGAAGAGCGAATGGGGAAGAAGCCTGATATTATGGGGTTGTTGAAACAAAATGAAAAATTTTTAGAGCTTATGTACGTTGAATCTTCACGTATCATTTGCACGAATTCGAAAAGGGTGGATGAGAAACGTGAGCTTTATGGGTGTATCGTGCAGACCAGCTTTGGCATTGTGTGAATTCAGATTGCCGGAACAGATGTCGTCTTAACGTTCTTGTAAAAGACTTGGGGTGGAATTTCCGTTAACACCACACCAAATCTCTATTAACCTTGAGATCGTGAATGAAAGCTTGTTAATACAAGCGTTAGAACAAGCTAATACATACCCACCCCGTAATGTTAACCCAAGTCATAATAGATATTAATATTAGGTAAATATAGCGGATTTAGAGTTTAAACCCTAGATAATGTCTATCGAGTATTCGTGATACTGGAAGAGGGAATGGCTGCACAAACTAACGAGCACATCTCATATTTTATCCTCGCCAATAGCATCAAAAAGAGTATATTTCCCCGTTCTACTTTTCTTCGCAACGCTTATTATCTGGCTCCTAACCTCATTATTTACTAAGACTCTGCGCAACTTGTGAGATTTGGTATGATACTCGAGACATTTATAAGATTTTGTGAATTTAATGTGCAATTTTAATTAATAAAAAGCATTAATTACATTAAGCGTACATATGTTATTTCGTAAGCTAATGCTATGCTAATTCTTTCTAGAAATACACTGTGTTTCGAAAAAAATTGCGCCAGTAGAACAAAAGAATTTTCTAGAATAAATCAAAAAGTTGATTATTGAC